TCTCTCCCACGATTTAATCGTAATGGGTAACCAGCGATGGCTTCACTCTAAAATGTAGATCGTTCCATCTCTATTCCTGTACATACTCCTGGCTAACGACGCGAGCGGGTTCTCCGTTTGCAGTCGGTTCTCTGATCGTCCGTGTGTCTGGAGGTAATCACAAGCAGAGCAAATAGAGCAGCTAATCGATCATCAAGCCGGTCCCCTAGCGTGACTCGATTCACGCTTTGATTAGAAGGGTACCATTAGAGGAGGTCGAATCTAGTGCGAGGCTTGAATGAGCTGGAAACATCCTGTATTATCTTATCATTTAGTAATATCCTTGAAATAATATCTCCAACTCGTTCCTCCACGAATATATTATTACACCATCTCTCTATCTCTGTGTGTGTGTAAAATTTATTTCAAACTAGTCCGGTGCTTTCTCCAAGATAGAGAGACTTTTGCCTGGCCACCGGAGTACGTTCAAGCTTTCCTACCTACCGTACAACGAAAGAAGCTAAATATTGACGCTCGCCGGGCCACACAATGTTCTCTCTCTCTCTCTCTATATGCCCCTTGAACCGCCACGAGCCGCGTTTCCGTGACTTACATTCCGCCAGGGCACGCTACCTCGAGAACATAATAACAGACTCGTGGAACGGAATCTAAACGCGCGGTGAAACGCGTTGCAAGTCGTTGCGGAGAGCTAGTTCCTCTGCGAGGAAACGTTAAGTTTCAAAGCGAAGGAGAGAGAGAGAAACGTTATTCGTTCTATTACAGGAGAGCAAAGGGAAGAGGAGGACTGAAGTCGTTTCACGGCGAGAGGCAACTAACTCTCGCGCGATTCTACAAAGGGACAATCGGCCGGAAGTTGTCGCATCGACGGCAATCGATAGTGAATTCCCCGCGATGGAATTCGGTTTAATCGATCGCGATCCGCGGTCCGACCGCATTTATGCACACTGCCGTTTCATCGCCGCAACTTCTGGCGAATTTCCAAGGTTCTGCTCGTGCCTTCGCTAACCCACATACTTGCTTAAAACGGTGTTATCAAGCTCCGGCGACTGGACCGCGCGAAACCTCGCGCCTTCGTCCTCCTCTTCTTCCTTCTCCAAAGAACGCGCTGTCTTCGCCCTATCTCTCTGTCCATCTACTTCTCTCCTCCCCAGCTGTTTCCTCTCTTTCGAGTTGAACAGAGGAGTTCGGTGGAAGGGAGACACGACTGAGAACAGGAAACCTATCGCCGCGACGAATCGATCTTTTTTCTTCCACCGTATCCAAGAGGAAACACAGACGCTCTTTTGTACAGAGAGGAATTAGAATTTGCCAGATCGTGAGTGTTTCTGAAGCGTGTCAGGCTTGCTACAAAGGTGGAGCCTTATGGAAAACATATTCCTCCGGTTTTGTTTCGATATTTAGAGCAGCTCAAAGGGAGTTTGCAAAGGGGCCAATTAACGGTTTGTGTACAACAGGAATTACAATGCTCGTTGCGAAGTATAATCAATGGTTAGCCGGTTTGCGTTCGACGAAACCCGGGCATTAGCGACCTGTACAAGTGATGTTTTATATTCCCGATGAGAATTTCGCGGCGTTTATCAGGGGGCTAGGCGCAGAGGTGTATAGTTGGATACGGAGAGATGTAAGACGGTGGATGGTCAGGCATTGGGAAATTTAATATCGCGGCGACGAAGACCCTGACAGTTCGCGTCATCTTAAAATATGGTCGAACTCGAGGGAGAAGAGGGATAAGTGTCATTCAGGGTCGAGCACCCGGTCCGGATAAAGGATCGAGTTTCAGACTGTCAAAAGGGATCGGGAATCCCTCGAATAATCTATCTCTCCCTCTGCTCTCTCTCTTTCTCTCGAATCTTGATACGCGGTGAATTAATAACCTATTGGCTTCTGATAACAGCTTTTACTCCCCGAGAAGAATGAACGCCAGCAAGATGTTGTCGGATTCAATCGTGTTTTTGCTGCAAGAAGGGGAATATCATCTGTGGAACCGACCGATAGGGTAAATTATGAGAGAGAGAGGGAGAAGATGTGAAATGTGTTATCGAATGATTCTTATAAACTTTCTTCGGTTACTACGTGTAAGAAGAATGTGCATCAAGTTTGCATTTAGAAGATTGAAGAGCTCGCTTTTCCCTTGGACCAGTGATGGATAACCGTGAACCATATGGAAAGGGCAAGAACGCCATTGGAGGCTGCACGCTGTCGCGAGAAGATATTGCGGGACCTTCGTAAAGTGTCATAGCAGCGGGGAGAAGATGCACCTCGGCCTTGTGTCTTCTGGAATGCAAATGATGCTGGACTCTTCGAGGAGAGCACGCCATCGATTTTCGCGAACCGGTGAAGGCTGAGATATCGGTGCGGAATCTAGGAAACGAATGCGTTTGAAAGAAGAGTACCCTGGAAAAAAGTTCGTTGGAGGACAAGATAACAAATTGTGTAAAAATAAGCGCTGTTGACACCCGGAAAATATTTTGAAATAGGCAAGGATCAATCGTTGATGTAAATTAATACTCGCTGGTGACCTAAATCTTAGGAATCTGAGAAACAGTCGAAAAGAAGACTGCGAAAGAAGAACTTGTGAAAAAACTTCTCTAAAACGGAAAATACCCAATTGCTCGAAAATAAGTGCCATGGATATCCCAAAAATATCCTGCAATAAACAAGTAATACTTGCGAGTTGCTTAAATCTCACGAATCTAAGAAACATTAGAAAAAATGACGAGCAAAATGGAAGCTAATATTGAAAAAACTTCTCTAAAATAGAAAATACCTAATTTCTCGAAAATAAGTGCCATGGATATCCCCAAAATATCCTGCAATAAACAAGTAATACTTGCGAGTTTCTTAAATCTCACGAATCTAAGAAACATTAGATAAAATGACGAGCAAAATGGAACCTAATATTGAAAAAACTTCTCTAAAATAGAAAATACCTAATTTCTCGAAAATAAGTGCCATGGATATCCCCAAAATATCCTGCAATAAACAAGTAATACTTGCGAGTTGCTTAAATCTCAGGAATCCAAGAAACATTCGAAAAGAAAACTACCGAAAAATAACCTATCACTCAGAAAACTTCTCTAAAATAAAAAATAAAAAGTCACCTAAAAATAGGCGCTATTGATATCCCAAGAATATCTTACAATAAATACTGACAAACCATTGAAATAAATAATACTCAGAAGTTACCTAAATTTCACGAATCCAAGAAACATTCGAAAAGAAGATTACTAAGACAAAAGCCTAACATTCGCTAAACTTCTCTGAAACAGAAACTACCAAATCTCAATATCCCAAAAGTGTCCTACAACAACCAAGGATTAGACCAACATCCCCAAATTACCCAAACCCCGCGAAGGAAAATCAGCACGGCCGAAAATCTCTAGGAACCAAAACAGCACTAAACCATCGTCCAGGTTTCAAGGTGGCATCCGAAAGTCCTCTCGTTACCGTCCAGTCTTTTGCCTATGTCTGCGAGAAAATTCGAGTCCCTGTGGCGATCGGGGATTAAAAGTTGGCCGGCTCGAGTTCGAAGGAGACGGCGAAGACTGGGGAGAGCCGAACGATGCTCAGGAGAGAGGCGAGAGCGGCGTTAGTCAGCAAACCGCTCGGCTAATCCCTTAATTACTTCGACATGGTTAGCGACCCTGTACTAACCACGTCGGTGCCTGGCTCCGTTCCCCGATCGTTAATTAAAATGGCACTTCCTTGCAGCCGCGTAATTTCCAGCCGGCGCGGCGCGCACAGCTCGTGACGGTCAGTCGAGCTCGTCTTTAAACCGTCCTGCCTTCCTCCCTGGCAAATTTATAACCGTCGATACACAGTTTCCCTCCGAACCAACCTTCGACGCAGCCTCTTCTCGTCGCGCCGCTCCTTTATTTCGTCACGAGACGCCGTCGAACGTAATCCAAGGGTGAGAGATTATACTAGGTGAATTTCACGAGTAAGTAGACAAAGTAAAAGGTGACTGCGTTACCGCGAGACAATTTTTGGAAACCGGAACGAACGCGTACTCGAATTTTCGAGGCACGGAGGAAATAGGTTACGTCGATTGTGAAAAGCAATTCGAAGAAAACGACGTCGATTTGGAAGAATTTCTTGCGAGGGAAATTTCATTATACCTTCTTAGAAATTTCCACGGAGATTGAATTTCACCAGTAGCAATACGGCAAATTGCATTGCCTTTCGGTTTTCTGAAAATCGACGTCGTTCTCTGAACGGTAGATTTTTGCAAAATTCATCGCTTAATGGAAACCGCTGGAAAATGTTCCTTATGTTTTCTGAAAATCGACGTCATTCTCTGAACGGTAGATTTTTGCAAAATTCACCGCTTAATGGAAACCGCTGAAAATGTTTCAGCGTGAACGACAAAAATATCTCCGACGAAAACCTGGAATATTTAATCAACACGTGTATTAACACGCTCGATCTCCACTTGGACCGAAAAATCCGCCCGAAACTTCGCCGTGTGTGTATAAATACCAGTGTTTCGTAGCGTGGTAAACGCGACTAAATCGAAGTTTAATTATGCAAAATGTAGCCGGACGAACCGGTTATCCGCTCTGATCATAATTAGCCCAGATTCGTGACTTCGTAATAGTCGCATCAATATGATAATACCAACAACGGAAATACCTACCGTCCGTGAAAAACCTCAATTATCTACCCTCCCCATCGAGTTTCGTAACAGACACACGAAAGACACACCGAGAGACCTATAACTTTACCCCAGATCCATCCTAATCTAAACAACAACCCTCTCTATCCTGCAACCCTTCCCGGCCGAACCTATCATTATCATCGCATTTGCGTAATAGTACGATGACCATACGTGGACTCGCGTAGATTGCAGCTCGAATTCGAGCTCGATTCTATCGCGAACGAGATAGAAAGAGAGAGAGAGAGAGAGAACGATCGAGCGAGAGAGCGAGAGAATGAGAGAGAAAATGAGCATTGCGATCGGTGATCCGTTTAGTAATTGGTTCGCGGACATGCTGATTCAGGTACCACAGCGAGGGTGTTGCGGAGTCCGCTTTGGTCGACGACACCCTCAACGGAAATCCTCGATCTTCGTCGTCGTCGTCGTCTTCCTCGATTCTGCCTCCCGTTCAGTCAGCATCCGCGGACACGGTCGACGCAGCGAATCTATCCAATTCGAGAAAGTACGTACGATAGGGTATCCTCTACGTCGTTGACCAAGAAAAAAAAGAAAATAAAGAAAAACATCTTGCAACCCCTTTAAAGTAAATAGAATTTTTTGTAGACGTACCGCACTTGTGATTTTTCTTCAGAAAGAGTATCAGTTGTTGCTTCACTTCCTGCCTTGTATTATTTCATGTTCTTGTAATGTTGTTGTTATTATTGTTGCTGTTGTTATTGTTGTTGTTTAACTGCTGCGCTCTGTGCTGTTTTCGTTCTTAACTTTGCCACGGCGTTTTTCGAACGTGTGTTTGAACACACGCTCTAGACTACGAGGCTTGTTACGTTTGTGTAAATTCGAAGAGGCCAAACCAAAACGCAAATATCTCCGGACCTGTATTCGCAAGCTTTTGCAGTAGGCGACGTTGCTCCTCGCTACTACGTAGGAAACTCGAGTTGTTGTTGTTGTTGTTGTTGTTGCTGCTTATCTTTGTACCACCACCATCGCCATTTTCCCTTCTCCCACACTTTTACCATCCTGTACGAACAACCTGTACACTCGGCAGTACTGTAAAGTTGTGGCTGCAGACGCGTTCGGCATTGCATGCAACCGTGTATACACCGGCGCGGAACGTGGCTCGCGTGATCAATCGAGCGTTCGAGTTAGCTTGTCTTTTCCGTTCTTTCCAGCGGAAGCTCTGTTTCCATTCCGCTCGACGGGAATGTGTAAATCAGGTAGAATGTGACGGAAATTGCGAGTTAAAATTCAGAGAGATTAAAGACATTTTTCGAATTCGAAATGGAAAGAAGAAACGAGGGGAAAATAATTGGCGTGATCAATCGAGCGTTCGAGTCAGCTTGTCTTTTCCGTTCCTTCGAACCGAATTTAAGTTTCTCTTCTACTCCACGGAATATGTAAATAACGTAGAATGTGACGGAAATTGCGAGTTAAAATTCAGAGACATTTTTCAAATTTGTAATGGAAAGAAGAAACGAGGGGAAAATAATTGGCGTGATCAATCGAGCGTTCGAGTTGGCTTGTTTTTTCTTTTCTTTCGAACGGATGTCTGTTTCTCTTCTACTCCACAGAATGTGTAAATCACGTAGAATGTGACGGAAATTGCAAATTAAAATTCAGAGAGATTAAAGACATTTTTCAAATTTGTAATGAAAAGAAGAAACGAGGGGAAAGTAATTGGCATGAGCAATCGAGCGTTCGAGTTGGCTTGTTTTTTCTCTTCTTTCGAGCAGATGTCAGTTTCCATTTTACTCCACGGAATATGTAAATTACGTAGAATGTGACGGAAATTGCGAGTTAAAATTCAGAGAGATTAACCGTGTTTTTTAAATTGACAACGAAAAGAAGGGAAATTTAACTCGCGTGATCGATTAAGGGTTCGAGTTTGCTTGCCTTTTCCGTTCTTTCCAACGAAATTTCAGCTTCCATTCTCCTCTACGCGAATAATGAAACCGGAATATGTGAATCACGTACATAAAATGTGACGAAAATTGCAGGTAAAAATTCAAAGAGATTAGCCGTGTTTTCGGAATGTGCAACGAAAAGAAGAAACGAGGGGAACGTAACTCGCGTGAGGAAAGATAGTACTTTCCTCGGTGGGATAGCGAGAACGCGTTGATTCGATGCGAAAAACGAGGAGGAAAAAAGGAACAGAATGAGACTTCCGCCAGCCAGACAGATCCGTCTCTGCACGGTGCTCGCATTATAAAGTAAAACTAACTTTTTCTCCCCCGCGGTATATATACGGCGTCGATCTTTCGACCGCGCCTCCACCACGGTAGAAAGTGGGCGTCTGAATGCCGCGCCAGTGCTGCAGAAGAATAGATTTTATTCCGGTGTGGCGGAACGCGGCCGAGAAAATCAACCGCTTTTGAAAAGAGCGGCCTGGCGAAACCCGTTTCCCCGTCGATTCTTTCGCCGCTTTTACCCGTCTTCCCTTCGCTAAGTAGAACTCTCTTTCGTCTCGATTCCCTGCTAGATTCTGCACTTTTGTCACCGTTTCGCGAAAGTTCGTAGAGAAAACGTACGCCGGTTTGTGTGAATTGTGACACGCGGAAAGACAGATCGGTTCGAAAACTTTCTATGTAAAAGTCCTCCGATCGATTCTTCTCTCTCTCTCTCCCCGTGAGAATTTCTACTATTCTATACTCGCGTATCCCTTAGTAAAGTAGGCCCGATGACGCGCGCAATCATCGAGCACGAACGCGATTCGTCACTGTCGATGCTGGTCGCGCGATCGATAAAACTTTGCCAGCCAGCGAACGAGATGGCCAATTACCCGTGGAATCGATTCGTCATGCCGCGTGAGACGATAAGTAAATGTTAACGACGACGATCCGTCTGGCAGAGGCAGAACGAGGCTTTCCCGGGCATAACGTCGAATTATGTCGCGATAAATCGTTGTCTGCTTGCGAACGGTCAAACTCTCGCCGTATACCTATGATCATTCCATTATCGAATTGTACAACCACGGACAGAAGCTAGAACGTTGAAGTTTAGCGCGGCTGTGCTCTTTTCCCGTAAAGTCTCTCCGTCTCTTTCGCTCTGTCTCGCGAAAAGTAGATTCCTCGAGTAACGAGAGAGCAATTATTATCTCATAAAAGAGGAGAATATTAGCGGCGTCGGCCGGTTCGAGGCAACGCGGTAATTTTCGACTGTGGATATTACAGTTATTGCGAGAAACCGGATAACGAAACGACAGAGATGGGCGGCGTTCCGCACGTCGAGGGTGGACTGAACAGCGAGCTGTACGCTGTCCCGGTGAAACGGAGACAGCCCAAGGATCAGAAGAACAATGCCACTCTGCAGAACAATGCCCAAGAGAAACCAACGGAGGTGGATACCACGGACTCCGAGGACAAAGATGAGAATCTGCCGCCCGGATGGCAGAAACACGAGGGTGAGTATATCGATGAATCGACCTTAGAATAATGTAGAGCGAAATATCCTCTGACAACCGCTTCACGAGGATAGCGCCTGTGTCGCGGGACGAATAAAGAACGTGGAAATTGTATTCGATAGAGAAAGATGGATACTGGAATACAATCGATGAGCGATGGAAATTTCTTTCAGACGAGAACGGTCCTTATTATTGGCACGTTAAGAGCGGTAATATTCAAAGAGAGCCACCTGAAGCACCACCGCACACCAAGAGCCAGTCACGTAGGAGTCTGATCAAAGACAACGATAGCGTGAGTGAACATTTTCAAGGATCTACGAATTTTTTACAGGAAAAAAAGGGTAGGAAAGCTTCTACGATCGGAACGTTCTGGTTACAGATAAACAACTTCCACACTCTGAGCGGCATGGTGAACACCGTGACCCGTAGCAACACTAGCTCAGCCCTGGACCAAGAGCTCGAGAACAAGAGGAAAGTGGATCTAGCTCTCAAGTGAGATATCATCGATACACTTGTTCCGCTCGCTTTTCTTCCAACCGCCCGCTCCATCTCACCCTCTCTTCGCGTTTGCTTTTCAGGCGAAGAAGCTACCCCGCACGAGCTGACTCCGAGGGCAGGGACAAACCTATCAGATTCGCCGTGCGCTCCCTTGGATGGACGGAGATCGCTGAAGAGGATCTGACGCCTGAAAGAAGCAGCAAGGCTGTAAACAAGTGCATCGTCGATTTATCTCTGGGTAGAAATGATCTTCTGGACGTTGTCGGCCGATGGGGTGACGTTAGTAGACATTTACAAATTCCATTTCGTTCAATTCTTTATAAAGATACACTGGTTAATAATATGTATTTCAATATTTTCCTCAGGGTAAAGATTTGTTCATGGATCTAGACGAAGGCGCCTTGAAACTGATCGACCCGGAGAATCTAACTGTTCTCAACACACAGCCAATTCACACGGTGAGGGTATGGGGTGTTGGCAGAGATCACTGCCGGTAAGTGAATATTAGAATGCTGAAAGAGGTGGTTGCACAAGTTTTGACCCATGTTGATAATCTATTCACGATTCGTTCCATGACTGTGTTTCTTCGGCTACACCTATGCAACAGTGAAAGGTAAGCGTAAAGAGCATTTATGAACGATAACATTTACCATCTTTCGCAATCTGTCAACCTGTCGTTGTCGTTTATCAGGGACTTCGCTTACGTGGCAAGAGACAGGTCGACCCGAAAACACATGTGCCACGTGTTCCGTTGCGACATCCCGGCGCGCACGATCGCGAACACGCTCCGCGACATTTGCAAGAAGATCATGATCGAACGATCGCAACACCAGAACCTCGCGAAACCGGTGGACATCAATGGACGAACGAGCCTCGCTACGAGACCGACTAACCTGCCGACAGAGCATCGACGCTTCCATAGAAACGGACAAGCACTAGTCAGTGAGTAAATCGAAGATCGTGTTCTCTCTCCAGAGTTGGACAGAATTCTCGTTACACAAGAGAATCGAGTTTTACGCCGAGAAAAACCATTCCCGCCTATTTTCAGCGCAATCTTTCCCAACGCCGATGGAAGAGCCGAAGAAGGTTCTGCGTGCACAATATCTCGGATCGATGCAGGTCTCTCAGGCGACTGGCATGGAAGTACTGAACGACGCGATAGATCACATAGTGGCCAACACGCCGATCAATCAATGGCGAAACGTGAACGTTGCAGTCGCACCCAGTATGATTTCCATCCTTACACCGAACGTAAGTGGTTCTGAGAAGAAGAGAGTGATCGATAGAGTTGTTTTGTCACGCACAGGAAGGAAATGACGTTACCGGGTGTTTGTTTCAGGAGGATAAACTTATTACCGAATGTCGAGTACGTTATCTGTCGTTTCTCGGCATTGGCCGCAACGTGAAACAGTGCGCTTTTATAATGCACACCGCGCAAGATCTATTCATCGCACACGTCTTCAACTGCGAGCCTAGCAGCGGAGCCCTTTGCAAAACCATAGAAGCTGCTTGCAAGGTTACTATTTCACTGCAAATACTTCCTCTATCGCTTTAGTTCTCCTTTGTTAAATTTGTATTTTTCAATTATACAGCTAAGGTACCAGAAATGCTTAGACGCACACCCGCAGGGGTTTAGAAACGCCAGCAGCCTGAATACTCCCAGCGGAAAAGGCATTGGCGCCACCTTGAAATCTCTGGTTGGCTCTCTGACTGGACGTAGGAACAAGCAGGGTGAGTCCTGAGACGAGGCTCTCTCGCTGCAGGTAAATAATGATGTTTAACCGTTCAAACATCACTTTTGAGAAAAAGAATAGAGAAAGACCAGTACATTTGACAGTGTTTTCATGAATAATATAATCGCCTCTCATAGAAAACCATGTGTTGTAGCTGATACCTTCGCTCGTTCCTTCGCAGGAACTCTGGCCGCTGCCTGCTGAGCGAGAGGTGATCAGACATAGACATCTGCAGTCGCCACTGACCTTGAAATACTTTAGCGGATCGCCACCGAGCGCGTCTCTCAGGTCACTCCTTTCGCCCTCTCTGGACAACAGGCGTATTCAGCTGGCCCGTTGGGAAAGCAATCCTTAAGAGGAACGTAGCCGCAGGTGAAGTTAACTCTCGAGGAAGAGCAAGAGGAGGAACGACAAGAAGAAGAGGAAAAAGGAGAAGCTGAAGAAGAAGAAGAAGAAGAAGAAGAAGAAGAAGAAGAAGAAATAACGAGAGAGGATCGTATTCTTACGTTAACGACTGAATCGTGAATTCTGCAGAGTGCTATACTAATTACCACAGCTATAGTGGACTACGCTTACGTGTGTCGATATGATGTTATGTATGTTACACGCAGTGTCTGACAAAAAGATAAAAAAAATTGAAAAGATAAAAAATATAATGTCGGAGAGAGAAAAAGAGGACGAGAGCTCGTGGATCGGACGCCACGAAAAATAAAAAAAAAAACGGAGGCAGGATTATTCTCTAAACAATGTCGGAAACGTCCCTTGGGTGTTGAACGTATATTGCATGTTTTGCTCGTGACGACCTCCAGGCAAATTGGAGAGCGTGGTGTCAGGGTGTGGAATTCCCTGATCGCGTCGCAAAACAACGTTCGAGAGAGGAGGAGGTATTAGAGAGAATATTCTGCGAGGATTTGGACAGGATAGAGCGAATATATCTGTATATATACGGGGATGGTAATTTATCGCGCTATAATTTAGTAAAAAAAAAAGAAAAAAATTTCGCTGGATTTAAAGGAATTCCAGAGGTGGAGTGAAAGAGGAACGTGATGCATGAGTAAACGGAGTGACTGAAGTAGCGTTCTAGCGTATCCACGAGGCATTCGAAGATTTAAACGAAAAAGACAACACACAAGCTATAGAGAGCTTAAATGTATAACTTACATGTGTATTCTCGGTTGTACAGATTAGAGAAACGAGACGGGGATGACCAGACCACACGAAGTAAGGAAACACGTAACACAACGTATTATTATATAGAAGAGACATGCATAGAGAAGAAATACCCACGCGATGGATACACACAATTACACACACACACACACAGATACATATACGCATACACACAACAAACACGAACGCGCGTACAGACACACGATACATTCAAACACACACACAGACAGGTAATAGGGAGTTTATTTTTTATGGCGAACTATAGAAGAGCTTGCACCTTTTTGAGAAATGAAGGCGATACGATTAATGCTAGCGCGACCGTCCTTTAAATCCACGGGGGAAGAAGAGACCGAGACGAAACCTACCAAGCTACGTACCGATCTTGACACTCGCAATAAACAATATGTGTATTATCGTACGCACAATCGCTGTGCTATAAACGCTAACGCCTACACAAGAAAAAAAAGAAGAAGAACGATTAAGAGAAACCTTCACTCTGTTGAAACGGTGTAACGAATCGTTATCGTCGTCGTTATCGTTGTCGTCGTAATGCGCCTCGCTGAACAAACTAATTATCGCTGAGCGCCGTCGCATGCGTAGACGCTGCAATGGTTGTGGTGAATTTTAACGATAAAAAAAACGAAGGCTCCGTGTGAAAGAGAGAGAGAGGTAGAGGGGAAAAGGAAAAAAAGAACACGATGAGATAGAAAAAAAAAAAACATAAACGCCCAGCGAATTGTCCAGAGAGCTTATTCACCGGCACCGGCGACCGTCGCCGTTTCTCTGAAACGGTTGCTCGAGCGTCGACGCTTTGACTCTCGCACCGCGTGTGTCACGCGATATACAGAGTAAAATAAAAATATATTGCGTACACGTATATTATCCGCAAAACTCATTATCCGCACGTGCACACACACACACACACACACACAGCGTCGACTGCACTTTTTTTCACATACGCGACGGACGTTCAAGAGACACGCCGTAGAATTTTAGAAGCTGACAGAGGCGCGAGACGACGAATCATCTCTCGCGCCGACTCTGTTCGGTCGGTCGACAGAAATCGGTGGCACGTATTCACTAAACGGTTACATCAACGCGAGTCGTACTCCGCCAAGTATCATTGTCGCGCACGTGTTCACGCGTACGTACCGTAAAAAAAAAAAACAGAAAAAGCACACGCAAACGAATCGACGATGCGAACAGAGAAGAGTGAAAGAAAATCACAGATAAGACAAGCTATAGTAAGGCTTGTCCGTTGTTGATGATCGAAACGTGATCGTCGATTGATGTGCTCGCGATGCCTAATGTCAATCAGTAGCTTAGAAATATCCGTGAATAAAGAATCCACCCGGTACGTGTACCGCAATCGTGCGCCGTTGTTCTCCCTTCGGTTCGTTTTCTATCAGATTAGCTCTAGGCATTTTTCCATACGCGCAGACATTTTGCAGCGAATTGTACAGAGAACGAAGAATGAAGAAGATGGGTGGTATGTACTTCGTCCGATCCCCGGATTATTTTCGTACGATAGCCTCGCGATTAGAGAGACACGTGACGATGTTAGCGAACCGACGTCTCATCCACGCTGTTCCCAGCTGCGAACAATCTTTAAGCTAGAGAAGAATATGGCTTTACAACACCGACCAGCTTTTTCCTTTTTCCGCTCGTTCGATCACCCGTTAATCTCACCCTTTAACAGAACGTTCCTAAGTAATCATGGCGGCACCTGTGGTTCTTCTACGCGTCGACGAACGAGCGGGAAAACGATCCGGCGTTCCAACGATCCAGAATGATCCAAGTGAAACAAGACGAAACGAGACAAGAAGCGGCGAAACTCACCGGTCGTTTACGTAACAACGCGTGTACTGTCAGCAAGAAAGTTACCGCGAGAGCAACAGCAGTAGGCCATCGTTAATGTCCCGGAACGATTCGTCCGTAGGGAAAACGCTTCCTTAGTAAGGCGAAGTGAGAATTTTCTCTTTTTGTCAATCTCTCCCTCGAGAGACTAGGGCGGTGGGGGGGAAGGAACGGTGAATTTTCTTGCTCTCGGCACATTTTCCGTCGTCCTTCGAGGACGGTCACGTCGTGGGAGCCATCGTCATTGCGAAAGATACAAAGTTGTTGCGGGACCCAGAACGAAGAGAGATATTTCTATGTAGCGTTTAAATTAAGAAGAAGAAGAAGAAGAAGAAGAAAAGGGGGTGGTTTGGCTGGATTAGCAAGAGATGGTTGAGTGGAGAGAGCATGAGTGTGTACAAGATTGGTGTAAGAAAGAGGTAACGTGTGCGTGGAGTTTTAGGCTGCTTGATGACGTGATTTACTTGTGACAATTATATATCTAAATGAGGATGTAATAACGAGGAGTATAGAACCGCGAAAGATGGTTTCATTATTTGTACATAAAAAATACATGTTACGAGGATCACCCGCCTTCTACCATAACAAAGAAAAACGCGAACGAACAAGAAGAGGAAAATATGAGAAACGTAGTAGCGATGTTAGAAGAGAGATGATAAAAAAAGAAGAAAAAATACCGCGTGTGCGAAACGCCTCGTCTCTTGGCTGAATGTTATCTCGAAGTAGGAATCTCCTCGAATGGTCCTTCTATTCGACGTTTCGCGACAAACAACGAGACGGACGGACCTTCTTGGATATTCCCCTCCGACATCTAATCCGCCGCTTCGATTTTTCCTTTCACCTGTATCTTTTTCTTTTTTTTTTTTTTTTCTTGCGTTCCTTCCATTATCTGGTCACTCTCAATCTCTACGCGGGTAGGCTTGAGAACCGTGTCACGAACAATAATTAAAACGAAACGTCGCGCGACGAGGCCTCCCGTGCGACCCGCGCTCCAGCAAACTCGTATATCCCCACCCCCAAAGTTTTACACGAAAGAAAAAAAAAGAACCAGCGGCGTTTCTTCTGCTATTGATATATCGTTGATACGATTTCTTTGCTTTGATATACATATATATATATAGTTGTTGAATTTATATTATCGTGAGACGGTAAATCGGCCGAGCGATCGAGGGTGGCATGAGACAGCCTCGAGAGCGCGACGAGCGCGGAGAATAATGTGGTGTGAATGTAAATATAATTAATTATACACTCGTGTAGAAATGTAAGAGACTAAAGAAGACGAAGAAAGAAAGAATGGAGGAGATGTTCAGAAGTTAAGGAACACAATCGTTGCACCCGTCGTTTCGAGCGACGACACACGTGAAATGAAAAGAAAGAAAGAGGAAAAAAAACAGAAGAAGAAAAGTAATCGAAACAAACAACCGACATTATTACTCAGCCGTACACACGTAACGACACATACATTACATGTAACACAGAAATAACACACACACACACATTACATACACGCACGAAAGAGAGAACACACACTTTCACACAAACTGCGCGTAGCTTAACTGCCTCCTTAATAATAGGTATTGGCATGTCGTCGGGTGGGATACGAGAGTATCGATGATAAAAATGAAAAAAAAAAAACGAAAAGAAACTACCAACCAGCAAGGGGTTGAAAGAGGTGGAAAAAAAAGGAGGTGGAGGAGGGTAAAGGAGAAGGGAAGCCACTTGTAACTGACATAGAATAGTGCAAACCTAACTATATTTACTGTGACATGTAATATCCTTAATGAAAAAAAAAAAAAAATGCGATCTACTTGATAGAAGAGTTGTTCTGCACAAACACGTTGCTTCATTGATAATTATAGTGTCTCTCTCTCTCTCTCTCTCTCTCTCTCTCTCTCTCTTTCTCTGTCTCTCTATCTTCAGAAAAAAAAAAACTACGTACCTCTCTCTATACCTTTATGGCAATTTAAAAATATATCCAACACGATATTGTTTCGGCAATTCCGGGAAGAAACACTTTCCGCGTTTCACCCCTCTCGTTCATCATCATCATCATCATCATCATCATCATCATAATTATCGTCGTCGTCGTCGTCGTCATTGTTTTATTCGAGCTCGCCATATTTCGAAACGAATCACGCAGAAACACGCATCGTCGAACGGATATCATTGTTAATTCTATTGTTGTCACGATCATTATCGTCGCGTTGATATGGAGAACGAGTACAAGTATGGAGAATTCGCCGTCGTCGTCTTGTCGCGTAATTTAAATAGGAATATTCTAAAACGAAACAAAAGAAAATATTGTTACCACCGTCTTACTAAAGGGATAAAAAAAGAAACGAAGAAGAAGAAAATAAACGAGGATAAGAGGAGGAGAGGAAACAAAAAAAAAGAGTATATATGTTCGCGTGGCGATCGATGCAG